GGGGGGAGACTCGCTCGGGGATTTAATATCAACGAAGAAAACAAGAGAAGAGAAGAGAAGAGAGGTACGTCTGGCGTCTACATCGCCAACGTAGCTAGCCAGCCGGCCTAGCCATATTACAGCGAAGAGGCGCAAGTGAAAAAGCCCCCCAATAAGAAGGTGAAGGTGGTGGTGGTGCAAACAGGTGTTGTGACACGCCAACCACCCTGCAACCGAGAAGACGCGCAACAAAGTCATCCGGCACAAAAACGAGAAACGAAAGCAAGGTAATTCGTCTCGACGCGTGAAGGGGAAAGGCCATAATCGTCACACACAAAAAAATGTGTCATCATCCATCATGGCCGCCTCTCTCAATACGCATCCTCATCCGTCCACTCACTCCCCTTGGACACGACCCGGTGCCCGTCGTCATCAACGTACACATGCCCGGCCGGCACCATCCCCATCGGCGGGATGCCGCGCATCCTCTTCGTCTGGCTGTCCGTGGGGCGGAACCCGGGCTCGGCCTCGGGTTCCATCCGCTTCCCCCGCGCCGCCCGCACCTTGGCGTAGTACGTGTCCGACGCGTCGGCCTCCGGCTCGCTGTTGTCGTCGTACGTCTCCCAGTTCTCCGATCCCGTCACGTTGCTGGACCCGTGGGACGAGTTGGAGATCTGGCGCGGCGGCGGGGGGGCTAGCGGGTAGGATGATGTCTTTGTCGTCAGGTTGGCGACTGGCCGTAATGTCGGGACTTGGTGCTGTTGCTGGTAGTGCTGCTGTTGTTGTTGGTGTTGTTGTTGTTGGTGTTGTTGTTGTTGGTGTTGTTGTTGTTGTTGCTGGTATTGTTGTTGCTGGTGGCGATGTTGGTGATGTTGCGACGGGTAATCGTATTGCGAATACGACTGAGACGGGTGAGAAGACAGCGTCGAGTTGGCCCGCGCCTGCCGCGGCGGCGGCGGCGCGGGCGGGTCCTCGTACACATCCTCCAATTCGGCCTGCCGCACGATGTTGCTGCCGCCCCCCAGTCCCATCGACTGGTAGTACGGGTCCACGGGGGCCTCGAGCTCGGGCACGGGAACCAGATCCCGCATCTTCGGCGGCGGTGCCCGCATCGGCGCCCCGTTGCGCATCGCGGTCGTCGTCCCGTTCCCGTTGGGCCTAGTATTATTATTCTCTCTGCTCTCGGCTCGTGTCTCGGGTCGTTGCCGCGGCCGCTCGGGCGAGTTATTTCCGTGCTTCAAATTGGAAAGGGGAACGCGGGCCGGTATCCTAGACGGACTTCCCTTCGTATTCGCGCGCGTCGCTGCCGGCGGCGCACCCTTCACCGTGGCCGTGGACGTGGGTGTTTTCGCGCCCGCTCGAGCCGCCGGCCTGGTAGCGCTGTTGGCGCGACTAGGTGGTCCTGCCGACTTGGCGCCTCCTCCGCCTCCTCCTCCTCCTCCTCCTCCCCTGGTAGCCGAGGCCGGCACGCCGGATGGTGTCTTGGACCGGGGGCCGCCCGACGTTCTGATCTCGTCGGCCTCCATGACGTCGAGGTATCTCTCGCCGTGCACGAGGAACGGCCGGCCGTACTCGTCCTCCCAGGTCTGCAGCAGCTTTTTCAACTCGGCCGCCATCTTGGGCAGTTCCTTGGCGATCCTCTTCCTCAGCTTCTCCTCCCGGAGGAGCTTGCCGGGATCGCGCTTCTCGCCCTTTTGTCCGCGCATCATGAGGCGGGAAGCGTCCTGGCTGGAGGCGGCGAGCTCGTCGCGGTCGTGCGTAAGACTGCGGTGCCTCTCGACGAGCGCGAGGGCCGGGGCCCGCTGGTCCCTCAGGGCCTCGAGACGCGCGATTTCCCTCTCGTGCGCCTCGAGGAGCGCGTCGCTGTAGACGTCCGAGAAGGCCGGGGTGAACTCGAGCATCTCGTCTTCCGAGAGGAACAAGGCGTCCCACAGTTCTTGGAGTTTGCACCGGGCGTCCTCGACGAAGAGGTGGAGGTTCTCCCGCTTGAGCTCGTTCAGCCGGGCCAGCTCGTCCTCGAACTCGTTGATCTGGCGGATGCCGCAGCCGCGGTTCGCGTTGAGGAAGGCTTTGCGCTCGGCGGCGTCGACGTTCAGCTTCTCCCACAGCGCCTCGACCGAGCTTCGGAGGTCCTTCAGCCGCTTTTCGCGGTTCTTCTTTTCGTCCGCCAAGCGGTCGTGCTTGGCCCGCAGGCGCACAATGTCCTCCTCGTGCAAGCCGAGTTGCTCGGGCGCGTCGCGGTAGTGCTTGACGATGGCGCCGTCGGTTTGGGCCTGCGGGGTGCCCAACTCAGCCCACAGTTGGATGATGTGCTCGCACAGGGCCTGGACGGTGGCCACCCTACGCGCATACTCCTCGTATACTCGGGTGAACTCGTGGTCGAGCTTGTCGACGTAGGTGGGGGACAGGTCGAAGGTCGGTGGTATGGATTGGTTGGGGCCGGTGGGAGGAAGGGCGATCTTGACAAAGGTCGGCTCAAGATGTGACGAGTACGACTCGAGGGCTTCTACGAGTTCTGTTCGATAAGTGTCAGCATGGCGGTCTTTTTTTCTTTTTCTTCTTCTTTTCTTGCTTTCTTTGCCAAATTTTCCCCAGGTCCGTCGTGAGAGTAAAGACACGATCGACGATCAAAACAGATATACGCACTCTTTACTTGCTCGAACCGCTCCTTGTGCAATCTGCTGATTTGGATGTGTTTCTCCCGCAGCAGCTGGAGACAACGCGCAAGGGGATAGGTGATTTGCAGGTCATCGTCTTCGGAGTTGCGGCGAGTACGGGAGTCGTCAAGGGAGGCTTCCATTTGGCGGATGGTGGTGATCATTTTCTGGGCCTCGGCGATCATCTCTTCCTTCTCGGCCGTGACCAGACGGACCTGGTCATGTAGGGCCTTGGACAGAGCATCGAAGAGCTAAAGAGGGGACGGGCGTTAGTCATAGCCAGCCCGTGGAGGTGGTAGCACAATGCATGGGAGGGAAGATGATTGAATTCTCACCTCTGATTCTCGTACGTCGCGGTCATGGCTAGGGACTCCTATGTCATCGAACAGACCGTGGAGCTGGCCGATGATGGAGTTGACCTGTTGAGACAGGTAACCGGCGTCCATGGTTAGACGCGTTGAAAACAGGGTGGAGGGAAGAATTCCAATGTGGTAAAGGAGTGTCGAGAATGTGAATGGGGATGAGGGTAGGTACGGGTACACAGGATGACGCGTGGCCAGAGAGGCGGGGAGGGGGATAGGCGCGGCGTGGCAGTAGAGTGGTGTGGTGTTTATTCCTGTGGATTCGTTTTGTTTTTGTTGTTTCTTTCACGCGCGGATGCACCGAGATGCGCAGGGCGCCGTCTAATCTGCTTTGTTACCATGCACCGGCTGCGAAGAGGTCACCGTGAGGTTCCCAGAACGAAGTGCATGTCATGCAGATGATGGAGACAGATAGAGAGATAGAGAGTCAAAGAAGATGGGCGAGTCGTTTCCGTTTGATCGAGGAATGGCTTGCCTGTATCGTGGGGTTCGTGGAAGATGCGGAGGATGTGGAGGACGGAAGGCAAGTCGAAGTATTGACTGGAATGAAATGCAAGACAGAGCCAAATTTAGCAGAGTCGTGGGAGACAGTGGAGAGAGGAAGGAAGAGGAAAAGAGAGGGTGCGTATGTTGCAAGCAGGTACGCTGTATGCAATGTGTGTGTGTATGTAGGTGTGATGGTTGGATAGTTCATGCGATGTTTTGGACGGGATACATCGGTCCGAGATCATGTGGCGTCTCCGTCTCGTCTCCAGGGCAACCACGACCGAGTGCAGTGCCTGCCTCGCGGTTGTTTGTTTCAGCCGACGACTTACCCCGCACTGACGGTTAGCCTTGATTGGCTTGGCCACATTTCGCACATTTCATGTACGTGTACTTTGTAACCACTCTAGCCACAGCCCGAATCCTGTACTTCGTACATGCAAGATCCCGCACATTGGTTACCAAACGTCCTGATCCGTCTCGTACCTTGTAATACGAATCAACCAACTCTTGAAGTGTGCCTGTCCTGCGGAAATCTGCATTTGCTCTGACCGATACCGGCCAACTCTGTTTCATATCTCAATCGCTCTCTCAACCTCGTCGCTCTTCAATTCCGTTTTCCGAGTATCATAATTGCTAATTTAAAGCATGCACGTCACGCGTGTCATGCTGCCCATCTTCGTCCACAAACATGCAAGTCAATGTCGCCCACTCTTAACTTGCAGCTTTTAATTTCCGGCATTCACTGCCGTCCTCTTAACTGTCCTCTTACTCTCATGTTACGGTGGCTACTCTTGGATGGGCGGAGATAAGATAAAGCGATAAGATAAGAGGGTACCCGTCCACTCCAATAATATCAACGACGTCATTGTGTCGTCCTCCATATTTGCTTGCAACTGTTCCGCTGCGTCGACGCCCGGCTAGTTAGGAAGCTTTCCACCAGTGTCACAAGATAAAGATGAATTCCCAAAATTACATACATCAATACCGATGCTCAAGAAGGTAGGCTCAATGTCTCTATGAAAGACGGATATTCCTCTCCTGCCTGATCATTCCACCTCTTCATCCCTACATATTGACGAATTACCGAGGGAGGAAGAGAGACAAGACGTACTACACCATCCAACCTCCAACCGTCGCGGAATCGTGGACTCGTGGACTCATGGACGCATGATGCTAATGATACCATATGACGACTACTAGGACAGCGCACACTCTTGCCCTGGACCCATCTTCTCCATCGCAAGTCTCCGGATGAGGGATCGGCAACCTTAGAATCTCCTCGCACTCGGTCCTATTGTTCTGTTCGGAAAACGCAGAACATAATCACCTTCTGCACTTCAGCGCCGCCGCAATGTTCTCCTGCTTTGGCCTCTTCAAAAAGCACCGGGATGAAGAGGAACGCGAGCCCCTTCTCCCCCGCTACAGCGGCGATACCGCCCTCCAGGCCCGCCTCCGCGAAAAGCTGCACACCTATCAAATGCTCCGTGCCCTGGGGAAGGGTTACATGCCGTCCAACGACCAGCTCACCACCAACCTACGCACCCTTCTCACTGCCGACATCCTCTCCCCCGATGCTCCCGAGAACCTGAGCCCTTCGGGCCACTCTCTCATCCTCGACGTCCGTCTTCTGATCACCCAGTTCATCGAGCTCCTGCACCACAAAAATTCCGAGGATCAGATCCAAGACTTCATCTGGTTCCTCACCAAGTCCCGTCTATCCGTCGATGCCCATGATATTGCCGAGCGGGCTTCGAGGGCCAAGTCCAAGGCAGACACTACAGCTGGTAAGTAGAAGGCATCACAGCATAATAATCATAATCCCCCACTGCCGTCATCCAAGCAATGTGAAACGAACAGATCTGCTAACTCTCTGCCTTCCATGCCTAGCCTACAAAAGCTTGCAGACCGTGGGCTCTCTGCTGCTGACCAACTCGGACTTTCGCATCTTCCTGTCCGACCTGACCACCGTCGGCCGGGAGGTCTTCCGAGACACTGCCTTCACCCTTGCCGAAGCATCCAAGGAGGTTGGAAAGAAGGTGGAGCCTTCCCAGGAGGAGCAAGAAGCTCTCAAGCATCCCGATGGAGATTCGCAGTCTCCACCGTCCAAAGCCGACCTCGGGAAAGAGGTCGCCGACGTATCTTCTGCCGTGGCCGACGGCGCCTCGAAAGTTGCCGGTGAAGCGGGACAGAGCCTTGCAGAGCACATCACCGGCGACGAAAAGGACACCCTCCTGCATCGGCTCAAGCAGGCCGTCGTGAAACTGAGGGAACGGAGGGATTACTCTGACTCGGTGTCCACCCTGTCGCTCCTCATCCGCCGCTACCTTCTCGTCTACTCCCACGCCCTCGCCGACACGGCCCGCGCCGCCGAGGAAGACGTGCACATGAATCCCGAGGCTGACCGGGCCATGCGCAACTTCTGGACCTTCGTCACCTCCTTCGGCGACCGCGACGAGTGGAAGGAAGTAGAGCACACCTTCCAAGCCGTCATGTCCCACGCCAACAGCGACCCGGAGTTCGACGACCTGGTCCGCCGCATCGGCAACCTCGTCCAGGACATGCTCACCGAGCCCGACTTCTTCGACCACGCCGAGGACAGGTTCCAGGAGGTGCGCGCCAAGTCGCGCGAGCTGACCCACGAGTCGTCCGTCCGAGACGACGTCGACGCCTTCCTGGACCACCTGCACAAAGCCATCCGCTCCGTCCTCCAGGACGCCGACGTCAAGAAGCTCCTCCAGACCTCCAAGCGCATCCTCGCCACCCTGTCGCCTGCGCACCAGTACACCAACACCGAGCTGGTCTCCGACTCGCTCAACGTCTTCGTCCCCCTCCTCGTCAACGCCGTCCAGTACATCCCCATCCCGCGCCTCGAGGTCTCCACCCCGGCCATGGACCTCCTCCTCGAGAACCTGATCCTCGAACCGGGCCGCACCGTCAACGCCAGCTCCTTCCTCCCTTACAAGCTCAACGTCACCACCAGGAACGACGTCGAGGTCCGCAAGGCCAGGTTCGCCACCACCTCCTCCGTCACCACCCTCATGCGCATCGCCGTCTCGGGCCTCTCCCTCGCCGCGGAGGACGTCGGCTACTGGCTGCGCCTGCACTCGGGCCTCCTCCGCTTCGTCGACTCCGGCATCGTGGGCCTCCACCTCGACGAGAGGGGGATCGACGTCGCCGTCGACGTGGAAGTCGGCAGAGAGCGCCTGGAACAGATCCTCACCCTGCGCGGCGTCCGCGTCCGCATCCACCGCCTCCAGTACGACCTGCGCCAGACCAAGCTGGCCTGCCTCGCCTGGCTCCTCAAGCCCCTCGTGCGGCCCCTGCTGCGGAAGGCCCTGGAGGTGGCCGTCGCCCGCGCCATCGCCGACGCGTGCCACGCCGCGAACCGGGAGCTCCTCTTCGCGAGGGAGAGGCTGCGCGCCACGCGCATTGCGAACCCGCAGGATCTGTGGACGTATCTGCGGGCCGTGGCCGCCAGGCTTGTGCCCGCCGAGGATCCGGACCTGTATACGCGCGTTGGGGTTACGCAGCCCGGCCGGGGGGTGTTCAGAGGGGTGTATGCGCCCGGGAGTCTGGTGAAGGTGTGGAACGAGGAGGGGGCGTTGGCGGGGCAGAGGGCCTACCAGTATGAGAGGGAGGGGTGGCGGAACGATATTTTTGATGTTTCTGCGAGAGCTGCCTCGGTGAGCCGTGTTTAGGACGGGTGGTGGTGGCGTTGAGTCTCGCCCTTTTTTTTTTTTTTTTTTTTTTTCCTGCTTTCTCAAGGGTGGCGTCTTGGGTTTCTTGGACGGTTGGACGGTTGGACGGTGTTTACTCTCCGAATCATCAAGGATAGCTTGACAAATGTGCTAGCTACTTGCCCAGATAACAACAAAAGTGTTCTGATATTTCCTGCTTGCCGTCGCCAAAGACATCCATTCCAAGCCAAGGAGTAATTGCGACTGTGTTCCCAGGGGCGAGACCAGCATGACTTTACGGAACACAATATGGGGTAGCGCACTGAGACAAGGAGGTTCTCCTTTCGTAAATGGAGGGAAGTGGAATAAGAGCACAAGCCCACATACGTGAGGGCAAAAGTACTCCACGGAATATATATATAAGACCCATTCCCCTGACAGGCAATGGTTAGGAATAGTTTACAAAACGAAAGCAGTGTTGAAAGAGGGAATAAATATATATATAGCTCTGCAATGAGGTCCACGGCCAGACGTGAACCATCATGCAGAAACACTCGCATCGTAAAGCAGGGGGAAAAGAAAAAGAAAGGAAAAAAAGTACGATTCCAGGGTTTCCCACGCCATAGGACCTCTACCTAGGTAAGGAAGACCATACCTTTCGGCTGGGCGAGAACCCCTTCGTAGGTAGGATGACAGCGGAGCCGTAAACAAACGAAAAAAAAAAACACAACGCAGCGGGCTAAAGTAAAGAGATAGATAGTAAAGCCGGGGTTTTACTTGTTGGGACCAATATGTTGGACCGTGTTATCGTTGAAGATTTTGATACGGGGCGTCTGGTAGGGGGATGTAAAGTAAGCAAAAAGAGACAATCTTTCAAACAGACTGGAACGCTGAAAGGCCAGGGGGGGCACTCACAGTATCCATATTATGGCTAAAAGAAAAGCGGCACGACGACATGGGGCAGTTCCGCGCCCAGCGACAGTGGTGCGCGTAGATGCAATCGACGTTATCGCAGGCCGACTTCATCTCGCAGGGGATGCCGCGGACCTTCTGCTTCAGCACGAGGAGCACGGCGGGCGGCAGCTTCTCGCCGTGGTAGTAGGTGCAGCCGGGCGTGTCGCAGCCGCCGAGGAGGTAGTGGTTGTTGCAGAAGTTGGTGCCGTTGTCGGCCATCATGTCCTTGAACTTGCGCTCGGCGTTGGGGTCGATGCGCGGGAGCGGCTCGTCGATACGCTCGCTGTCGGCGTTGAGGAGGTAGTACTTCCGCGGCGCCTTCTTGGTGGGTCGGATGTCGATGGCCTTGGGGTTCGCGCTGGGGATAATCCGGGTGATGGTCGACCAGGAGCCTCCTGCGGAGGAGGAGGTGGTGGTGGTGGCCGTGGCGGTGACGGGGCTGGCTTGCTGGTCGCCTGAGGGCTCGGAGGGCGCGGGGACCTGGGAGGGTTTGGGGGTCTTGGGGGGCCCGGGGAGCGAGAGCTGGGAAGGGGCCGGGGATGGGGATGGGGCCGCGGCCGCAGGCGGAAGCGGGTGCGGAAGCGAGTGCGGGTGCGAGCGTTGGAGGGCCTTGTCGATGCCGTTAACGGAAGACGAGATGGAGGCAGGGGGCAGGGCCTGGACCAAAGGCCTCGAAGGGAGGAGGTCGGAACGGAAAACAGTAGGGAAGCTGGCGGTGTTGAAGCCGAGGTCGAGGAAGCCGGGCTGGGCGGGGACGGTCTCGAGCAGGGTGAAGCGGTGGAAGACGTCGTCGTCGCGCTTGTAGGGTTCGAGGACGGGCAGGTACCCGTTATCGGAGCACGGGCCGAAGAAGACGTGCTTGCACTGGGAGACGCGGACCATGAGGCGCATCATCTCGCGGATCTTATGATCGGCGGACTCCTTGCCGCCGCCGACGTCGATGAAGCTGAAGAGGGGCTGGGAGCGGCCGAAGGCGCGGGCGAAGCCGGCGAGGGTGGGCTTCTCGGGTGTATTGGGGATGATGCCGCAGGCGTGGAGTTTCTTGGCCAAGCCGTCGAGGTTGAGGATAACTTGGACGATAATGGTCCAGTCGCCGGTGTTGGTTTGGGGATAGGCATCCTTAATGTACGACTTAATGGCCGTCTGTAGCAGGTAGGCGGCCTCGGCGCCGCCCTCGGCGCCCTTGGCGAGGAGGTTATCATTGAAGATGGCGCCGTCGCCGTCAATAATGGCATAAACGAAAGGGTTCGATTCCTATGATTCTTGCGATGAGCTCGGACGGAACTTTTGAAGAGGTAAAAGAGGGAGGGGAGGAGCTAACGGTAGCTCGAGTAATGGCCATTTTTTCTTCCATGGCTATAGAAGCCTTGCTTTGCCACATACGGCGCGACTCGACTTCGTTATTATAATCAGCACATTTGTCTGCATAGGCCTTTTTGAGGTTCTCATATTGACTGATTAATTCCTGGAGGGGGGTCAGCATTTGTTTCAGGAGGTTGGTTTCATGTAAATGTGAAGGTGAGGGTCTGTAAATGTGAAGACGAGGGAAGATCAAGGCGAGGGTGAGAAGATGAGAAGATGAGAAGATGAGAAGATGAGA